TGTGGATTCTCAAACGCGGCAATTACGTAGCCTGTTCTTGCTCAGGCCGATGCAGGCTTCCGATCTTTTCTGGTTATATTCACCCAGAAGTATCTTGGCCTGTCTCAGCCCCAAGAGATTGTTCCAATTATCGGTTCTTCGACTATTTGCCTGGTACGATATTAACCAAAATTATTTAAAATTTTAAATTAACATTAAGTAGGTAGGGGGTATCTAAATAAAACACTGTCCTAAAAATATATACTTTTTTAATTAATAATTACAAATAAAACATGGTATGGCAAAAAATATCGTAAAAAACTGTAAAAAAATTTAAAATAACGTTTTAAATATATTAAATACCTTAATTTAATTTATTAACTAAAATTTCAATTAATTTTGTATGCTTAGTTATTAGTGTTATTACTTACTGCAATATTTTTTTTTGCAGCAGGTGGTGTTCCAATAACAGTTGAATAAGAACTAAAAACCCATACATTAGATATACATACATATAGGTAATAAATAATGTTTAGAGGTAAACAAAAAATTTATATTTTGTATTTTTACCTGTTGGATAAGTCATCCAAAATTTAGAAAGCCCTCACACCGTCTGGGGTTTGCATCTTTTCTGATATATTTAGCACCATTTGCACGTACCAAAACATTTTCAGGAAAAAAGTGTTCTGAACACAACTCTGGGCTTTTACGAAGGGGCTCATTTTTAAGGATCCCTACTAGAGAAAACCAAAGTTTTCTTTTCTCAGGATATTGCGGAAACCTAAATAGAACATTAAAAAATATGTATAGGTGCCTAATAGGTAAATCATTTTTAAGGTATTCTACATTTTACATTAAATTTTCTATTTCTATTCAATAATTATTTATTGGTATAAGAATAATTTACTAATTTATAAAAGAAATATCTGAAAACTGTTTTAAGACTGTTTTAGACTACACAAGTTTTTGATACAATTTCTTGTACAATTTAAATTGTATATTATCAAACAATATACTATGTGATCCTATACAATTTAAATTCTATAAGAAATTGTATCAAATCTTGTATAAGAAATTGTATAGTCAGTCAAAACAGTCTTAAGACGAGTGCCCTACTCCACTGGTTCAAATGAAAACAACATATCTTAACCTAAAAATACTTACCGATGAAAGAATAAATTTCGATTTAAATCATCTACCTTATTGAACACTACACAAGCATGTACCATAATTCTTTATATTTCTAACAAAAGTTCACAAAAATAGTATTTTATAAATGAATAAATCAATGAGTCACACAGAAATACAAAATAGCTGTTAGACCCGATTGGCAACGTTGCGGCTGGTTACGGTAACTACATTTCATTCTAAAAGTTGTAAATTCGTAAAATAAAAGATATTCAGCGTTGCCGTATTTACGGAGATCTTTGCAACCCTAATATTTTGTTTAGATTAATATTGATTTTTAATAAAAAATTTAGCTTATATTAAAACTTTAAAGAATAATTTGATTAAAAACATATTTTTATTTATATAATATAAAATTATAGTTATAGGATACATCAAATTTTATTTTTCGAAAGTAATTTCTCCAAATAATTTTTGCAGACTGATAAAACCGGCAAAGACGCAGTAAACGAGAATCTGGTGGGAATAATGATTTGCCACATAAAAATGTAAACAATTTGGTCTCTTAGTTGTAATATCTTTGGCAGTATTATAGGAAGGCTCCATCACGTAGTAAATATCGCCATATTGATGCGATACTATGAAGACTAGAGAAAAGGAGGCGAATCAGCATACTCAAAATACGGTCCCAAAAAACGCACGTTAATTGAACTTTTATAATTAACCGCAAGGGCGCTTGTACTGCTTACGGTGCTCAAAATACATGGCTTTTTATGGGAATTATACATAATTTTGTTAAAATAATAAAAATAAACTTGTTTATTACTAAATAAAGCACAACATACTGTTGTATTTATTTCTAAATAAGTCTTGCATATTTTAATTGATAAATTATTTAATTTTATCTATATACAATACAAATTGGGTAGAAATTACCAAATTCGAAAAGGTTTATTAAATGCTGAAATTTGATAAGTACAATTTTGTGGCAAAATTTTTTTGAATTTAACGTATATTTAGTTTTAAGAGCAAAATAAAACACAGTTAACATATTTTTTATTGTTGTAATACAAGCATAAAGGGAGATTTGAGAATGTACATGGTATTACCTCATCCTTTAATTTCAGCTTTCCCCTATTTATTTTGCTAACAGTACCATCAGTAAAAATAGTCTCATAATATTTGATATTTTGTAAAAAGTATAGAACAGCATCATCTCTAGAAAGTGCTTTATAGGCACTAGGAACAATATGTATGCTGCCACTGTTCTAAGCGTATTCTAGTATTCTATAAAAAACATTTACAGTGACACAATTGGGGTTCTACAAAAAAATAACAGTAGCAACTCTTTATCTAACATTAAAACTCTATAAAAAATAAATTTTCTTTTCTAGTAAGGTAAATTTAATGTATGAATTTTGTTGTTTGTAAGTCAGGATCTATGACTGTAAAATTTTATATTATAGAAACTTGTAATAAAATAAACTACACTCCGTAAGATACACATTGTGACTAGTTGACAACAAATATTATATTTAGACATAAATACATTATTTTACTTACATTAGAAGCTTTAAAAAGACATTGAATTGATTTATCCTTGTGTTTTCTGTAGTTTTACATTTGATTTGTATCCTGTTTTAGATTCTGGAATGACGTAAATCTTGCTTTGATCCTTTTTTTTATTCATGTTACTTATACTCACTATACTCAGGTACTTTTTTTCACATTATTTTGATTCTTTTCACCAATTTTTTTAAAAAATCACTTCCTTTTACATTGACTTGCACAGAAAAGTGAGACCGCTGTTATTCGACATGCTAACTACAGTCAATTTTGCGGACATAATAAAAAGGACGGAAATTTGAAATTTGATCATTGCCGATTCGCCTCCTTCTCTCTAGTCTTCATATGCAATACTTAAGTCAAACAGTTGTCGCATTATTGTGATTTCAATTATGTGATTTCTATGATCAAGGTTTCGTGATTTTGTGTGATATTAAAATAATAGTAAAAGTGAATAATGTTTTTATATGCTCTTCGTAACTGCAATAGCAGAAACGCAATTGATAAAAATAAATCGACAGAAATAGCATTTCTTTGGTAAGTGTACAACAAAGTAGTATTTGAAAAATTTATTTTTATATTTTGCTTACCTATTTAAATAGTTTCTGGGTTAACACATTTTATGGTAATTGTTTCATATACTTACGTATGTGAAACTGTTTAAATGTTTTAGGGTCGATTCCACCGTTGTGTTAAACGGAGATTAATATGACATTGTTAATGTAAAAATGTCACTTTAAACTTCGTTTAACACAACGGTGGAATCGGTCCTTAACTAACAAATAAAACCCAAATAACAAATGTTTTCCTTTGACACTGAGTTGAATGAATTATTTCCCAGAGCCTCTGTCAAAATATTCCAAATTTTTACTGCCTATATTGCGGGATGTACTGTCCAATTTAAGAAAAAATTGTTTTGATTATTCTGCTTCTTTTTAATTTTTGGAGGCCTCAGCTGCTAGGGCTATTCGGCCTATGGTTTTAGGTGGATTGGTGGTGGTCTCAACGATTATTTGCAATTAAGTAGGATTAGAATGTTACCCTACTTTATGGTAGGGTTCTTATGGCTTTACTTTTGAATTACAGACTGTTTTTATTGTCAAGTGACACGAGGGATTTGTATTTATTCTCTTTTATAGATCTGTATCTGTATCTGCAAAGTGTGAAGGGTGGGTTAACCTACGGCACTTAGGGCTCACTAGACCATTTGTGCATCATCCTAAGTAGAGAGGTACCTCCTAGCTTGTGAGATTTAATGCAGTTTACAACGTATCTAGGAGCCACAAATTTTCTAATAAAGAGGTCAACAACGAACGTCGCCTCTTGCTTTCACGTAATACCTATATTTTTTGTGTAATTACGTTTTTGGTAATCTGTATTCATGAGAGCAATAAAGTTATTTTTTATTATTATTATCATTAAATACATTGCCTACGCTGGCCATACTGCATTCTTAGTGTGTTCCGAACTATAAGTTAACCAATTTCGTTTTAATTAGTGTTTTAATCTAAATGAGTTACATAATATGTTAATGACATGGATAAAAAATCACAAGTGGTTTTAAAGATGAATTGTCCAAATTTTTTGGAGTGAATTTTATAAAGTCGTATCAATGCAATGTCATCTAGTTTTTTATCTTAGAGCGACAGCTTCTAAAAAACTATTGCTGTTATGAAAAATATTTAAAACCTTATTGAGAAGAATTTCAATACATTTCATTTTGTATACCTTAATTTTTACTGATAAGTTATTGCAGAATATACCAATTTTAATAGCTAATTTGCATATTTCAGAGAATAGCACAGGTCTGAATAAGTCTGAACTGATATATTTAGGCTAGTGGCTGATACAAAACACCAATATAGTAAGTAGAGCTTTTTTCTTCATTTAAAAAAAGTATCTAATGGAATGCAACCTTGTAAAAAGGTGTATATTAAACGAAAATGTTCAACCTACACAATATTAGCAATTTTTGAGCGTTTTTTTTTTTTTTCAAAAATTGTTAAAGAGAACGTGTCGCAAAGAAAGTATTGTACATTTTTTTAAATCGATCTTCAAAGAGCTGATTCCCCACACGATGTCATCTTTTTTTTTTAATTTAACCCTCCTCAAAACTGCTCCCAAAATATATGGTTTCTCTATTAATGCCTGTATTTGGGAAACGACTTACTACCCGAGCTTAGTACACCTAATTCAAATTTCAATTGTGTATGTCAAAGTCTGAGTAAAACGACTATGACAGACGGATATAGGGAATGGAATACTAAAAACCATAGCCACCATATTGTAACGAAAAAATAAATAAAAAATAAAAATACGTTGTTTACCTTGTATGCTAGATCTTTTGAAAGAATTGTCTTTAAAATCGTTGTGAATATGAAGAAAAGCACAGTATAGACAAAAACCATTTTTATTATTCTTGCTGTTTTTAATATTCGTCTGATTTCTTCGGAGTCTTCAATATTCCAAAAATGGAGTCTTGTTCTTTCAAATAAATCGTAGATTTCTGACTTCTTTAGGAAAAGGGTTGTTAACTTTAAAAGCGACTGAAATCAGACGAAGAAAAATATATAGGTACCGTAAAATGGGGTGAAATGAAACATTGTGGTGACTTGAAACAAATTGCAGCGCCATCTTTTATTCGGTAGCAAAAATATTAATAGTTATGAGAATCGATAATATATTGTATTAATGCTTTCTGTAGAGTACGTACTTCACATAATTCATGTTTTAAAGCGCAGAAGCATTGTATAAAGAACTAAATAGTAGTCTCACCTTATGGAAGTTTCATTGGAGCGAAATGGATACTACCAATAGATGGCGCTAGTGAATATGGATAAGTCGATATTCGTTTGCAGTGGGCGGAGTTGAGGGTCCAGCAGAAATTTTTAAGAATGACTGAGACCGATTGATAAATTTCTATTTTTAGCTCTTGGATGAAATTTTATACACTCGTGATTGAATGTTTGGACTATTTTCTATCTAATGTTTGTTATTGTGCGTTAGTGCGTTTACGGGTAGTAGGTATTGTGAATGAGTTGTGTTTATGTTTTATTACTGAATTATTTTACTGTTAATAAAGGACAAGTTCCCAAAAAAAATTTGTGTATTTATAACTGTTTTGAAATTAATAAAATGCTTTTGTTTTTCGTTTTCTTTACAGGTTTTATCCGAATTAATTTAAAATAAATTATATAATATTAATAATAGCAATAATAATACATTTCTTAAGTGTTGAAAAAATTGTATTTTTAATTTAAATACCCAAGTACTTAGCATAAGTAATGATAAACAACAGGTTATTTCTTTAATCTGGTGCGTAACAATGTAATAAAAAAAAGTCCTTAAGATGGTTGGTAAATAATATAAATGAATTCTTAATATTGAAGTAAACACAATGGGTTCTATAAGGATTATTGGTTGGAGTTCGGCTTTGGGGGATAGGGTCGAAATATTGAAACTAAACTTGGTATATGGATGTATTATCCCATAAAAATAAAAATCGCTTTAAAAAATTCACCCCTTCCCACCCCTATCTGATATGGTGAGGGTAGCATTCCCAAAAAAACAAGTTAGAACGTTTTAAAGAAAACAGTTAAAATCTACGATTTTTTATACATATAAACTCAAAATTACATTTTTTTAAAAAAAAAAAAATTTTTTTGAACTTTGAAAAAATTTCGACTTTAATCTTCATAGTTCGGATGTGGGGGCTGGCATTTAAAAATAGTTACAAATACATAAAAATCTTATTTTTGGCATTTTTACAATAGAAATGATTTGCAACATTTTTGTATAAATATCTTACCACCACCATCCCCTAGAGGGAGATGGAGGGTGTGGCATCCCCAAAAATCAAGTTATAACTTAAAAAAACAGTTAAAATCTACAATTTTTTATACATATAAACCCAAAATTTCAATTTTTAAATCAAATTACTAAATTAAATTATTTTTTTAATTTCTTTATTATATTTAATATTATTTCTACTTTTTCTAACAATAATCAATTTAAGATATCTACTTTGCTTGAGCCAAAATATTTAGTAGGGGAAGTTTTTAATATTTTACAAACATACTGTGTGTCCAAAAAAAATATATGAATTTGGCTAAACATTAACCTTTATTTCTAAAAACAGGAGAACAATGTTACTTGAAAAATGTATCTAGAATTAATATTTACCACCATCAAATCCTGGACCTGGACACAATTTTTTTTTAGCAATACGGGAGAAGCGGAAGTGACATTTTTACAAATGAAATTAATTTCAACAAATTTATTTGAGATCATGTACAAGATTATTCATTATTAAAGACACCTTTTATAACCACTATTGCATATTCAAAAAAAGCTTTAAATAAAAGTTTGGAATATGACTGACTTTTTTTAAATATACCATAAAAACACGTATTCAGATTTCACGGAATACAACACAAATAAACTTTTTTAAATGAGATACCCTCTATGTTATTAAATTTCTGGGATATTTTTTTTCTAATTTCACAAATGTATATTATTGATAACCCTATCTTATACCGTCTGTTCTCGAGTAATTTAACGTTGATAATGTAAACATGAAAAAGTTAACATTATTAAAGTAAAAGCTATGAAAATCACAACTATTATATTTGATAATAAAATAATCCAAATAGGTAGTTTACAGTGAGAAAGAAAAAGTGTAAATATTTATAAGATATTCGACATAGATTATCTATGATATTCGACGTTTAATTAATCAGGAAAGAATAAAGATCATTTCGAAACTTGAATAAAATATATATCTATGCTATGCTTATTAAAAAATATTCATGTTAAATCCTGTGAAATATGCACACCACTGATATGGTCATTTGATGACATTTTTACAAAATTCGGTCAATGTAAACATTATATAATAATAATTATAGCATAAAGGGAGGGAAATTTATAATGAATAACCCTGTTAGGTACCATAAATTTTCAGTAATAAAATTTTAATTCGCACTTTTTTACGTAGATTAAAGAAAAATGTAATTTTGTGCGTTTTCTTGGTGCAGACATTTTGCGACACACTGTATATTCAAATCCAAAATGATGTATTTTCTTTTAACACATACCTAATACAAATTTATTAGCAAAATTTAAATACTTGTTATTTTCGGTATATTTCTCCTTTAGACACACAAATTTTTAGTTTCATTGTCAAAAGATTTAAATAAAATTACCGGACCTTATAATATTCTATTATAATTTGATGATCCCGAGTGGCCATAGCAAAAAGACGAAATTTGAGCATGAAGATTTAGATGTCATTAACGTAAAATTAATGTTTTGAAATTAATTTAAGTTTTACCAATTTAGAAAATAAAATTAAATAATAAAAAAAAAGTGTCCACTCGGGGGTTTGAACTCGGAACCCTTCGATTCGTAGACAAGTACTCTAAATTTTCGTTATGAAGACTTATGAAAAAGTTTTACTTTTTAACGGTGATAATCAGACTGCTTTTAGTTTCATTAAAATCTCAGTTTATTTCTAAATATAGACGAATATCTTGTGGAATGCTATTATTTATTGATTCTTTCCAAGAATCACTAATTTTTATTTATATTTAATCTAAATAACTAAAAAAATATATACTGACAATTAATTTGACGGAATTGTCACTTATAAAGTTCTATGCCAAGTTAAAGGGAAACTATATGGAGAAGTAATTTAAATTCCATTAAAGAGACCGTGGTTTGCAAAAATAAAAAATTTGAATAGAAGGGATATAAGTACCGTATGCAGATTAAGAAGCGGTCATTGTTTAAGTATGGTGCATCTAAAGAAAATAGGTGTAAAAGAAAATGATAGGTGTACGTGTGGAAAACTGGAGGATTTACAACATATTTTTTTTAATTGTCAAAATAATTTTTATAATATTTATACATTTTTAGATAGTTTAGATATTCCAAAAAATTTTATAAAACCTGTTACACTTTTTGATGTATTGTTTAAACTTCTGTCTTTCGGTAATGTTAAAAAAATATCAAAATTTATACAAATGTCTAAAATTAAGCTGTAAAATATTGTAAATATTTACCTGTTGTTACCAAATGGCTGTATCATCTTAGCTATGTAGGCCAATAAATTAAAAAAAAAAAAAAAAAAAAAAAAAAAAAACATCTGACGTAGAGGGCGTATCTAACCAGTAAATAAAATCGTTAGTTCAATGATTGTACCAATAGATGTCGGGCGCGATTGCCTCCAATAACTTTTACATGGCGATTATCCCTACTATAGTTCTTTATACAATGGCAGAAGTTTGTTTCTTGACTGTTGAGAATTATTGAAATAAAAGGTAAGAAAATGCACTTTTTAAACTGTCGATTACTTCCTGTGGGGTAGAAAAAGTAGGTGATACCCTACGCTATTGATATTTTTTTATAGTTTAGATATTTATTTGTGATAATGCTCATAACCTTACTTTTGAAATAAAATAAAAATTAAAGCAGTGGCGTGCGACTTTATTTTTTATTGTCATTTCAGGGGTGAATTAAAACATGCCCAGAAAATATGAGAGACACCTGGAAGCCGAAGATATGCCGATTTTAGCGAAGAGACATTAAAAAGGCTATGGATTGCTATAAAAAAAACAAGGAACCCTAAGAAGTATTGGCGAGCAATATGGAATACCATATGCTACGTTATATAGAAAATATAAAAATTTACATTCAAAAAAATATGGCGGACAGACTGCATTGTCGGAAAATCAAGAAACGGTTATTCTTCGTGCAATTATTTGTGCTTCTGACTGGGGATTCCCGTATGAAGAACCCGATGTTAGGGATTTGGTGCAAAATTTTTTAAATCGGTCTGGAATCAATGTTAAACAATTTATAGATAACAGACCAGGTCACGAGTGGTATATAAGTTTCATTGAGCGACAGGTTCTCACAATCAATTAAACAAAGCAGAGCTAAAATCAACTATGCCATAATAAATCAATATTTTGACCATTTATCAGTATCCTTAGTAGACGTTGATCCAGCAGCAATGGTTAACTACGACGAAACTAATTTTTCCGATGACCCAGGAAGGGTCAAAGTTATTGTTCGCAGAAAGTCCAAAAGGGCCGAAAAAATTCAAGACACCTCAAAATCCGCAACATCTGTTATGTTTTCATGTTCTGCCTCAGGAGTAATATTGCCTGTCTACGTTGTTTATAAAGCAGACCATCTATGGACTACATGGACTGAGAGGGGTCCAGAAAAATCTCGATACAACAGGCTGGTTCGATATGCACTTATTTCGTAACTACCGCTCTTCCATATTTCAAGACATTGCCACCAGGACCCAAAGTAATTATTGGAGACAATTTAGCTTCACACCTATCACTAAACGTCATACAACTATGCGAATCGAATAACATCAGATTTATTTTACTGC